AGGATCATTATTGTGCAATTCAAAGTATGATGAAACAAGATGATTTTTAAAACTCTTTTCTATGTTCCTGCAATGCTCACCTATTCTTATCTTAAGGGGTCTTATAGTCCTCCCTATATATTGCAGGCCGCAGGGGCATTCTAATAGATATATGACAGTTTTACTCATACAGGTAATTGTGTTTTTCATATTATAAATATGGTTGGTATTATATGATTTAAAATGTCTCTCAGTTTTTTTTTGTTTTTCTGCAGGCTACGCAGCAATTACATCTAAAAAATCCTTGTTTATTTTGTAAAAAAAGATTGTTAGAATTTTTTTGTTTAGTAAAATTTTTTGTTAATTGCATTTTAAGGTTTGGAGCGCCTCTAAATATTATTTTTCCGTTATTTGGAATAATATTTTTCAATATTTCAAAAGATGCCAATATTTTCAGATAATTTTTTTATTTCTTTATTTTTATTATTGTAATAAAAAATTCTGGGTCTTAGCAACGCTCCAAATCTTGCGAGAGGAACCCTGCGGAGCTGCAAGTTAGAGCTCCTCTGGGTTCCTCTCCTGTCTCCCTCCCTCTCTCCCCCGCCGGCGGCCACAATAAACTGCATGGAATGCAGCTCGGATAGTGCCGGCCCGGCAAAGACCGGCAGGGGAGATCATGTGATCTCCCCTGCCGGCCTCGGACCATGGACACCCGGTGTGCCAGTTCGGGCCTCCACATAACATCCTCTATAAGCATGTCAAAAAAGTGTGTTAAATTGGGGGGAGGGCTGTGTATTAATTTAAGAGAGGGAAGGGGCAGTGTATTAACCTGGGGAGGGAGGGGGGCAGTGTATTAAATTGGGGGTGGTGGTGGTGTATTAATAGGAGGGAGGTGCAGTGTATTAATTTGGGGAAGTCATGGGGGCCATTGTAATAAATTGGAGAAGGGGCAGTGTATTTATTTGAGGAAGCGAGGGGGCCAGTGTGTTAAATTGGGGGGAGGGCAGTGTATTAAAGTAGAGTGGTGGGAATGGGGTCAGTCTATTCAATTAGAGTGGAGGGAGGAGGGACAGTGTATTAGATTAAGGGACAATGTATTAGATTGGGCGAAGGGGGCAGTGTATGGTGGAGTGGATGAGTGGAGGGGCAGTGTGTTGGATTTGGGGGCAATGTCTTGGATTTGTGGACAGTGTATTAGAGTGGGAGGAGGGGCAGTGTGTTAGATTGGGTCTGCATGGAAGCACTGAACGCTCCCCATGGAGATGCTGATTTGCCACGCAATTTTATGCCACACGCGCACAATAGGCTCCCAGTGCTTTCCTATGGGAAAGCATTGGATTGGCTGAGATCATCAAGTTTGATGATCTCAGCCAAAGTGAAGAACACACTCTTAGAACTTAAAAATCAACACGATAACGCAATTTTGTTTTTTACAGCTGTGCAACAACATACATTCACCATTTCAGTCCCATTACCAAACATTTCTTAATATGTCAAGGTATTTGGACTGAAAAGTTGTTTACATAAAATGCATTTCTTAAAATAAATTCACTCTTTTGTTTATTCTGAAGTCCTATGAGCGCGAAGACATCCAGTGTCAGTTAGGCAACTTTTTTTATACTGTACTTTTCTAAATAAACCTCTGTTTCTATGGAAACTGAAGTTTGTTTGTTTTTTTGCGGCCCACATAAACATAAACTTTGTTTATTTGGCCCGTCTTAGCCTTTGAGTTTGACATGCTTGCTTTACAATGACAAATAACACATTCCCTACACACATACACTCCACTCCCTCTGAGCAATTTCATTTGTGGGCCTTGTAGGTATACTCACAGTCAGGCCCTGGGGGCCCAGACCATGATCTGTGTAAAGGGCCCAGAAAATGGAGCTGCCTTTGTTGATTTGCCTCCAGAGAGCCTGTTTTAACACCAGACCAGTGGAGCCAGACTGCAGCCTGAGCCATTCATTATCCTCTTGTCCTCATCTGGTGGTAAGTAGGCAATCCAGTATATTACTAATCTCTAATTTACCTCACATTAATGGGACACTATAGTCACCAGAACCACTACAACATAATACAGAAAATTTTATCATACTTACCGTAATTTTCTTTTCCTGGCTATTATTCATGGCAGCATCACTTATGGTTAGCTCAGCCCCAATCAGGTACAGGACAGGAAAAATCAATTAATCTGGACCCAACTGGGGTATAAAAGGTCCCTCCTCCTTCCAACCCACAGTCGAGTTCCAAAGCTTCATAAATACTTAAGGGAGGGTTGCTGATGGTGCCATGAATAATAGCCAGGAAAAGAAAATTACGGTAAGTATGATAACATTTCATCATCTAATCATGGCAGCATCACTTATGGGTAATACCCAAGCTTCACCATAGGGAGGGGAAAAAAATTACTCTAAACCAGATAATGCTGAAATAAGTTTAATTAGATTGATTCAACAGAGGATAGAACACCTCTACCAAAAGCCGTAGAGGATGATGCCAAATCCAGTTTGTAGTGCTTTATGAACGTAAGAGGTGAAGACCAGGTAGCTGCCTTACAGATGTCGTCCGCTGGAACCTCTGCCCAATTTGTTGCCAAAGCCCTTGTAGAGTGAGACTTTATCTTACTAGGAGGAGTAAGGTCTTTTAATTGATAAGCCTTGATTATAGTATTGGAGATCCAGCGTCTCAAGGTGGAGGTAGATGCTGCTTTCCCTCTCCTGGGACCTATCGGCAGAACAAATAGCTGATGAGACTTTCGAAATTGATTTGAAACTTCAACGTATTTGAGTAGACACTGTCTGACGTCTAACTGATGAAGTTTCACTTCTTCTGGTGAAGAAGGAGATGGATAAAAGGAAGGGATAACAACTTCCTGCAGAATGTGGAAATTCGAGACTACTTTAGGCAAAAATTCTTGTTTAGGTCTTAAAACCACTCTGTCGTGGAATACTTGGAAATGGTTTTCATCACAAGAGAATGCATGGATTTCTGACATGCGTTTTGCTGTAGTTATAGCCACCAAAAACAAGGTCTTATATGTTAGTAAGACAATACCCAGCTCATCTAAAGGAGCAAAGGGGTTTTCAGACAGAACCTCTAATACCATAGGTAAATTCCAAGGCGGAGAATAATTCCTTTTCGGAGGTCTTATGCGAATTGTAGCTTTAAAGAATCTGAGGATTGGACTTTCAGAGTACTAAGGCTCAGTCCTTTTTCCAGGCCTGTATGAAGAAAATTTAGAATATTGATGATTACTGGCTTCTCCACAATACTCTGCCTTCTGATCAGGGGGGTTTTGATGTTTAGCAGGGGGATTTTTAAAGCTACAGCTGACCACCCATCAATTATTATATATATTTTTATATATAATTTCTCCAACTCCATGGTACAGATAATAATCTGTACCTAATTCAGTTAGTCCTGCCTGTGCAGGCTGTTTACTGAGTTCTTCAGATGAAGAGAGGCTGAACTTCATCTGGAGGCCCATGGTACACATGGGAAGGTGGCCCAAAAAAAATTATCCTGTTTGTCCTGAAAGGACAGGAAAAAAAGACTGTGGGTTGGAAGGAGGAGGGACCTTTTATACCCCAGTTGGGTCCAAATTAATTGATTTTTCCTGTCCTGTACCTGATTGGGGCGGAGCTAACCATAAGTGATGTTGCCATGATTAGCCAGGAATGTAGTGGTTCTGGTGTCTATAGCTTGTCCCGGCAGGATTTTTAATGTAAACACACTGCCTTTTCAGAGAAAAGACACTGTGTGCAGCACTGGCATTGGCTCATATGGCAGACCATATGGGTGGGGTATTGTGATGTCACATGGTGGGCAGGACAATAGGGGGTGGCAAATTTTTGTTTGCCTAGGGCGGCAAAAATACTTGCACTAGCCCTGCCTGGCACTATATGTTGTGCATTTGTGACTTGTTCATCACTGCTTTGCACCTTTTGTTTCCTTATGTTTCTTCATATTAGAAGCTCCTTGGCTGTTAGTTTATAATTTCTTCTTTAGATCTCAACCTGTTTCCATTATCCCTCAGATTCTGTGCTAGTGGCTGCAGTCACATATGAAAGGAGAACATGGCAAGAAGAAAAGGACCAGTACATCAATGAAGTGGAGAATAGATGCTGCCGCTAGAGTATGAATCATAGTTCCCAGCTCTCAGAGGGCTTGGGGTAGTGGTTAGAAGACACACTTTTTCAAGCCTTCAAACGAGAACCAAGTCATAATCTAAGACAGGACAAGGGAAGAAACACTGTATTTACTTGAATCTAATGTGCACCTTTTTTGGAAAATAATGTTTCCAAAATATGAATGCGCATTAGATTCGATGGCACATTCACAAAATTCACACTTTTCCGGTGAATTGCATTCCTACGAATTAAAACAGGGCGAATTCACACAGGCAAATTTAAACAAGCGAATTTCATTCAGGAAAGAGGACGGTCCTCGCTTTACGACCGTCGTGGGAAAGGAATAAACAAATTAAGGGCAATTTGAGTTATAAATAGGAGGTACTATGATTATTTTTTTTTTTAAATAGCAAAAATAAGAGCAATCAAATTTACCCCAAAATGGCAGAGAAACAGCAGACAACACACGAAGCAAGATTAAAATGAAAAGTAATTCTTATTGCTGAGGTATAGCGGAGAGAAATGTCCACTTGTGGCACCGAAACACGTCAATATTTGCATATAAAACAGATAATAAATTCACTGGTCCTAGCAAAGGAAGGAACCCTGACAGATCAAGAGATTTTGGAATTTGTGCAGGAAAAAAAGAATGGGCTACCTGTGACTAGTGAACAAATTAGAAATAAAGCTAAAGATGTGGCTATATCTTTCAATATATCAAAGGAAAAGTTTAAAGCCAATCGAGGATAGATGGATCGTTGTATGAAGAGTATGGATTTATCTCCACGTCGCTGCACAACTCTATGCCAAAAGCTTCCAGCAGATTTGGAAGAAAAGCTTCAATAATTTCAATAGTATGTAATAGACGTGTCGGGTTAATTATCTGAGGATGTCGATGATGGGGGGAGTAAGAAGATAACAGTAGATAAATCAATGTTGCAAGTTTGTTAATAACAGGTATGTTTTTGAATAACTGCTGTAACTGTAGCAAGTTTTTTTAACATTTAAGTAAATACAGTATTTATGGGACTATGACATAGAATCTTTATGAAATACTATGGCGATAGTTCATCCAGTGTCTGTATTTCTATTGACTAGGTTGAATTTCACTGAAATTCCAACACAGTCAAGAGAAATACAGATACTGGACAAACTATATTGCCATTCAGAAGTGTCAATTTCCCCCAGCCACAGGGAATTGGCACGATCTATGAAGGATCACGTGTTCTCCTCCATAGACTCCAATGCTGTACTCTCACACATTTATTCTGGTCTGCTGAAGAGGACGCGCCAGAAGGTGCCCACACCAACGAGAAACAGGTTTAGTTTAGCAGAACTCAACTTTACTTTCTCAAACAAAAGTTAGGACAATGCTTAGTCTCACTACTTAGTAGGTCTTAGTTACACTATAGAGCCATCTTTTGAAACTCAGCATTCCATGATTCTACATAAACTCCTTTGCATTAATCTGACCTTTTTTTATCCATACAAAAGGATATTATCCATTAGGTGCACTAAACCAACTGAAAAAGTTTTGCTTATAATGCAGTAAATTTCCTAGGTCAATCCCATGTTCCACAACAGAATAACACTGGCTCTATGGAATAGGTAAACAATTATATGTCATTCTTGTGACAATTACTTATCAAAAAGTACAAGAATTATCAGTTTTGCTTGTATACTGAAATATAGGATTACTCTGAAAACCACAAATTATGGAGTGCAAGTGAATTACACATTTACATCTAGAATAACCAATCTTGGAGAAAAAAAAATCTAAAATGTTTAGTAATGAACTGAAAATTCAGACAAACCTCTCTAGCTCCAAAAAGGGTCTTCAGCACCAGACACATTAACAACTAGTATAAGCGTAACACTTTTTTTTTTACACTACTATCAATATAAATTTACAGTTCTTTTCATATTAAGTGCAAAATGAAAAGGTGACTTCATTTTGAAAGTGTATAGCCTTATGATGAATGATCAAATGAATGACTGTCTTCCAACAAACTTCATAGCATGCACAATGCTGCAGCCAATGACAGTGCAACTACTTAAGTCATGGACCATTTGTGATTTTTAATTTTTTTTATTTTATCTGGTTCTCCATCTGTGCATGCAAGTACATATGCAATTTATAACTGTGTTCAACAAAACCTTGTAACTACTGTTCTTTGAAGATGTAAAAAAAAAAAAAGTTAGGGAGTAAACCTTAACAGGACACTAATCACCACAACTATAGATTAACGTATTTCTGGTGAGTGTAGTCAAGTCCCTGCAGGATATTTTGCCATAAACATGGAATTTTCAGAGAAAAGGCAATGTTTACATCACAGCCTAGGGCAGTGATAGCTAACCTTGACACCATAAATGGTTTCTGGACTACATTCCCCATGATTCTCAGCTAGCTTTTAGAGTAAAATCATGGGAAATTTAGTCCAGAAACAATTTATGGTGTCACAGTTAATCACTGGCCACGCTTCAGATGGCAACTAGAGGTGCAGCACTGATATTCTGCATGGAGACGCTGAACTTTCCTTATAGGAGGAGCATTGACTCAATGAGGAGATTCAGATTGGCCAGTGCTGTTTGACTCCTCCCAAAGTCCACCTCCTTGGCTGAGATCAGAATTGAGAGTCTCAGCCAATCCAATGTTTTCATGGAGGAAAGCATTGTGATGGGATGAGATCATCAATTGTGATTATGTCAGCCAAAGATGCAGAGCCAGCACCAGCAGACTGGAATAAAGGTTAGATTTTACTATATTTAGGGTGAATGGTGTTTAACATTATAGGGTCAGGAATAATGTTTGTGTTCTTGACCCTATAGTGTTACTTTATTTTGCAGTTTCTCTGTTGCAGTGCTGTATTTTAAAAAAAAATAAAAATAAACACTGATTGGATATATAAATTTTATTACAAAAAAAAATGCTAAAAAAGTTAGAAAAAGTACAATGCACCAGGTCTACAGGACTAAAGTATATTGGATTGTGTCACTAACATCAGGCAACCCTTAAAATCCATTAAATATGCAGAGAATTCCCACTTCAAAAGCTTTACGTCAACAAAAAACAGCCCTTTGAACTACTCCTTATATTAAAAATATAGGTTTTCCCTAATGAATCACATTACCTATACACAAGTCTGTACAGTTTTTCGTTTTTTTATATAACCAAGCTAACAAAATGAGCTGCACTTGAGTTCACATTCTTAGCAAGACAATGGGCTTCAGAACAATTTATACAGCAGGCAAAAGCATTCACTCGTCATCTTCATCATCCTCATCTTCCTCCTCTTCATCTTCCTCCTCTTCGTCCTCGTCATCATCTTCAGGCTCAACTTTCTTTTTTGAACTAGCTGGCCTGCCTGGTACTTTTTTGCCAACATCACCACCCTTACCCTTTGCCCGGTATGCAGCAACATCCTTTAAAAAAAAAAAAAAAAAAAATTATTGTTAACTGAAGCAACATACTATTGACAGCTTCTATTAAACAAGATAAATGAGATTAGGTAATGAAATATGTTCTCACCTTCTCATATTTTTCTTTTAGCTTTCCTGCTTTTTGCTCATATGGCTGTTTGTCTTTTGGGGTCTGCTCGGACCACATCTCTCCCAATTTCTTTGCTGTATCACCAATAGACAGACCAGGGAAGTCACTCTTTATTTGTGGACGATGTTCCGAACAGAAAAGGAAGAATGCAGACCTTTGAAGAAAACCAGATAACAGTAAATTACAATGTTCAACTATGGAGGCCATCTGTAGGAGTTCCAGTTTATCAGAAGAGAAAAAAAAAAAAATATACCAGACAAAATATATATGTGGCTGTGCAAAACTTTACCATCACTCTACAAAGTCTGTAAACAAAAATGTAAATTGTAATAATGACAAAAGAGCACTATTATAATTTGTTCCAGGATGTTTAAAACCTTTGAGAGTTCATAAAATAAAATTACATCTTGGCATACAGATATGCAGTCTATTAATTCAGTTACTTTGCTATGCTTAAAATATGAAACTTTATGCAAAGAAAATGTCACTGCATTGGCACAAAGAAATTTACGCCCCAGATAAACAACTTACGGTGGTCTTTTTGGTGCATTTGGGTCCTTCTTTTTCTTTCCTTTCTTCTCACCCTTAGGTGGTATATAAGTTTTCATTTCCCGTTCATAGCGAACCTTATCACCCTTTGCCAAATCTTCAAATTTTGATTTTTCCTTGGCAGACATGGTCTAGAAATGCAAGACATGTGGAACAAAAATTTAGTATAAACACCAAAGCATTACTGCTAATCCACTCAATATAATTACCTCGTCCCATATAACGCAGTGTTTTTAACTCACACACTCACTTAATTTAAAACATTCAATACACACTTGGTACATAAGTAGACTAAATGAAAAGGTCGTGTTTTAAATCCTTCATATGACCCCCATGCAGATCCCATAACACGGTGCATTGAGCTCTCACCTTCCACCTCTCTGAGCATTTCTTAGAGAACTCTGCGAAGTTGACCGATGAGTCCGGATGTTTCTTCTTGTGCTCCTCTCTGCATGTCTGCACGAAGTAGGCATATGAGGACATCTTGCCCCGCGGCTTATTAGGATCTCCTTTTCCCATGTTTAGTTATTTCTGTTGGAAGAAGAAGCGCCAGCCGAGTTAGTTACACAGAGAGAGAGAGAGAGCTGATAAAACCCGGGAACAGGGCACAAGGCGGGGGAGTGCGGGAGGAGGAGCCACACAAGGAAGTGCCGTGTGGGGCAGAGCTCTCCCCGCCTCCTGATAATCTCTCTCTCGCTCCTTACTACGCAGCACCCTGCTGCTTCCCTTCCCGCCCAAAAATAAAGCGAGCCCGCAACAAACATGGCCGCCACTGGCCAAGCAAGGGCGACAGACCGAGCACGAGATCACCCATAGCACGAGCACACACCGCGCGCACAGCAGCGCGAGGGGGGGAGGGTTAAAATCAACGGTCAGCGCGAGGGGGATTAACAGCCAGGGCCCTCGATACCGGCCTCGCTCACCGCCGACCACACAGGCCACGGCTGCTACTCGGCACTGAGGGGCGCAGCCAGTCAACGTTACGGCACCCATCCCATAGGGGTATATAGGGGCCTTGAGCCAGGAAAGCAAAATAATAGATAGCGAGAGACAAACCGCGGGGAATACACAGTAAGCAGAGCGGGGAACAGGATGGGGGGAACCGCGACATGAATACAAAGTGCGCCAACTGACCTGAGTGTAGAACAGACTGAGTATCTGATGACTGCTCCGTGTGTGCTCTCGTCGTGAAATGCTTTACCTCACACGCAATACTGCCTCTTGTTTTCCACACTAATACCCCTCACAGCAGCATGATGGTCAATGCTGGCTGACACGCCCCTCGGCTCTCATTGGTGGATGGCAAGGTTTCGGAAGCGGGAAGCGCACGCCTCCCTCACGCTATTGGCTAGTAGGCAGAAGTACGCGTCACCGGGTGGGCGGTTCCAAAACGGCTAGCAAGTTTGTATGCCGTAGCCGCCCACAGCCGAGGGAGGGGGGAGGAGGAGTGGAAACGGTCGATGACTCCTCTAGTTCCAACCGGTTAAAGGGAGTAGGGGGAGGGTTCCCTGCCGGCGATTGGTCGATGGCGGAGTTTTAAAAATTCGCGGGGTGAGCACGGATTGGCCGGCTCTGGGAGGTCGGCCGTGTATTGGCTGTTACAGGGCTGTTGCCGCGCGTTTTGAAAAAGTACAAGTAGTAAAACAGGGAGAACAATGAGACTATATGGGAGGAGGGGGAGTCTGCTGTTAGCGTGCGAGGCGGCCATTATTATTATTATTATTTTATGGTACCTCACAGAACACGGGGTCTTATTAATAAAATATATTCAAACTATTTGTGCCGAGTATCATCTTATTGCTTCATACACAATACATGATCTCTGTTTAGCTGACAGACTATTAAACATACACGGTGTGTGTATATATATATAATTTATTCAGCCAGTTTACCTCAGAATACATTGCCACTGGCATTAATAAAAGCTTTCATCGTGTCAGTTTAACAGACCCCCTGCAATAATGCACATAGTCCAGTGTGTATACATTTATATAAGGTATAACTGATCCATTCAATTCCTGCTTACCACGAGCAAGAAATACTGCATTTAAATTAAAAAAAAATTGGGGGGGGGGGGTAATTTCCAGACTGGGACTGAAGCCCTTCATGTATATGCTGTGGACTAGCATTATTTACAATATATACAATTCTATAAGCTTTTTGCATTAACATAACATGTATATGCTCTCTTTTAAAATTAACTACTGACCATTTAAAATAAATGGCAAATGTACAAGCACTGGAGAAAACAAACTGAATGGAAATAAAACAGTTTTCTTGCAGTTGTTTTGTGGTGTAATGCAGATAAAATGAAACATTTTGGAATAGCCTGCTTTCATTAAAGGCTGTATTATCTAAGGCACCCACCCAAACATGACTGTGGTCACAGTGCCAGCCACAGGGGAAGAAGAAATAAAATCATCTGATGATAATAACCACTGATGTATAGTACAGAAGGGGAATCTATTACAGAGAGTGAACTGGTAATATGGCAACCAGTTTTTGTTTTTTTTAGTAGTGGTAAACAATGGGGCTTATTTGCTAAACACTAATTTGTACTGAATTTAAAACCAAATTGCAAAATATAGCCAAATAACAGTGACAATCAGACATGTGCACAAATGCCTTTCAGCTCTGCTGAACAAATCAAATGCCTGTCAATCCATGGATGAACAAATAGATTAGTTAGGAAAATCCGAACAAATTGATTCGTTCGTCCATGGATTGACAGGCATTTGATTCGTTTGGCGCAACTTAAAGGGAATTGTGCACTAGTCTAGTGATGCTAGCATAGGTTTTTGTTTTTTTAAAATGACCTCTTTTGGCCTAAATTTTACAATTTACTGTGAATCACAGTACCATCATTAGTCATTTTAATGTCAGGTATTGCCCCACAAACAGACCCAACATAGAAAGTGTAAGAAACTCCAGGTCGCTGGTTTCCACCCTGACCATGTTTTGCATTTATTTAATTAAACTGAATTTGTGAGCTACTAGACTGAACATGTCAATATTCTATAGTGAAATTAAAATAAAAAAGGACAGGTCAATCATTTTGCCTTGTAACTTAATAAGATGTGGCAAAAGTGTACATGGGGTAGTGTTGTACCAAAAACACATAGCACAGAACATCCTAGTTATAGGACACATTCTATAAACCAAATCCTAGGCAAATAAAAAAAAAAAAAAACGCAATATGCATGTGAAAAGAATAATGAAGACCACAATCTTTGAAAGACACTGGAGTAAAAATAAACTCCTAAATTCAGCCTTCATAAAACTTAGGATCATCAACTTAATATGTAAATTTCAATCACTTGGTAGGTCTTGGATTTGGAGAGGAGTATCCTGAAGTATGATACCAGAAACAACTCCACAATAAGCTCAGAGCAACCACATCATTAGACATGCTGCATAAACTGAACTCAACTCAGTGTAGTCAGGCCATACATGAGCCCTTAAACAGATTGCCATACATGGCCAATGTGGCTGCACCCCCAATCTGATAGTCATACCTCCCAAAGCTTTGATTCATGCAAAATGTTAGGTTTTAAACCAGAAATTTGCCAGGGCTTTAAGAAGTTTAAGGTATACATATGGAGTATTGCAGCATTCATTACATCTATGCTGCACATATGCACGTACGTACCTATCTCATACTCAGTTACTGTCTCACATTCTGTTGTAGGTTGACATTGCGTGTCCTCTCCTACCTTTCGCATTTACTCTGCTGTGAATCTCCGTTACCGATTGTACCCAGCACAGGTACGACATGAGGACGACCTATGTCTTACCTTCTCCCCTCCCTCCCCCCCACCTTTTTAGTTTTTCTCCTTTAGAGGTTAGTACTGGCCTGTAGGACGGCCAGATAGGTTATGTTTCTGGCTCTCTTCCGTAAGCTAGTGGTCCCGCGAGGCCAACACTCATCCTCATGCTCGGAGGTACCCCTCATACTCTGAGGACAACGCCATTGGGCCAAAACATTGTTATTCACCTCGCATTGTTGCATAGTGAGGCGTCACCTGTCACTGCCATTCTCTCTTATGCTTTACCGAGGGGCCATCACCCCGCCACTAGCGTTTTGGTGGCCTCTACCTCCCCTAGGGCCAACTGATAGTTAGAGCCTCTGAAGCCGCTTGGCACATAGCAGGGCCTCACTGGTCACGTTGTGCTAGTATAATTTTTTTGCAACTTGGCATTTGTTAGCCGGCCAGTACCTGGTTGTGTTGTTTTTGCTGCCTGTGATGCATATGTATTTCAGTATGTCTCAGATTCCTGACGCTTCAGAAGAACTATTCCTTCCCTGCACCCCGGCCTCGGTACGGAGGCGGCTAGTCCAGCTTCCCTGAGGTTGTGGCCTGCCCCGCGTCTCTCGACTGAGCTCCACAGACGGGGGATGCCGGCTACGGCTAGGAAGGCTGAACTCTTCAGGCTTCTGAACACGGATACCGACAGCTCGGGGGCTCAGGCCCCTGTTAACATTAATCCTTCGTATATGGTCACCGCTGCTCTAAAAAAGGACATCATGGAGGGCAGGGATGTCAACCTGGTCTCGCTCCTGATTGCCTCCCAGGATGTCAGAGAATAGGACTTACGCGTATGGGGATATATAGTTGGTGCTGAGGGCTAGGGATCCTTGGCTCAACAATAAGCTATCCATACCCGAATTTGTACTGGGGTTTGTGATCTACCAAGATGTGTATTGCTCGGTTTATCCGGGAAAAAGCTCAGCTTGACTACAATGTAAACTGGAGCAGGTTGGACACTGAGCTATTCTGCAGGCATTTTGCCGGCTTCAGGTCCCCGGCTTGTGCGATTTGTGCCTCCACAGCTCACTCTTCCAACCTATGCCCTAATTCGACTGAGGCTGAGAATGGCCCCATTATCCTTAGCTCAGCAGGGTATACAAAGGGTTTGAAAGATAAACTGGGCAGGGTCATAGTGTTTTTGGGCAAGGCCCAAGTCTGTAATAATTTTAATTCCGGTCGCTTGCTGCACGTGTGTGCTCACTGTTTCCGGGCCCACACCAGGACCATGTGCCCCAATAAACTGTTTCCCAAACCATACCTCACTTGCATCAATGTCCGTTATTTGCTGATTTGCTCCGTCATCACCCCTCGCGACATTTGGTTGATTTTCTCACAACCGGATTGTCCATGGAGTGGCATCATCCACATGCCTGCTGGTACGCTGGAATGCAGTAATTTGCGCACGGCGATGCATTGGGGGACAACGGGGCAATTGCCCCCCCCCCCCCACCTCCCGAGAATCTCCCCTGCCGGCTAGTGCAGGGCTGGCATTGTCCAAGTGCCAGCCCTGCAATGTGCCTGTGGACCGGGGAGATCACAGATCAGAGATCTCTCTACCCGGTCCGCAGGCACCGTGCTGACAACCGGCAGGGGAAAGGGAGGGAGAGAGGACCCGGGAGCTCAGCCTGCAGCTCCTCCGGGTCCTCTAGCGACAACAGCAACGCTCCAAATCTCGGGAGAGTGAACTCTAGCCCTGGAGCTGCGGGCTAGAGTTCACCTCACCACCACTGGGACCACCAGGGAATCCCATTGGATCACCAGGGAACAAAATATTCACCCCTCCTCCCAGTAAAGGTAAGAAGGGAGGGGGGACATATATATATATATATATTTTATTAAATACATTTTTTATTATTAAAAAGCCTCCCTACCCTCCTTCCCCCCCTCATACAAACACTGCCCCCATACACACTGCCCCACAAACACTGTCCCCATACACACACTGCCCCCATACACACACTGCTCCACAAACACTGTCCCCATACACACACTGCACACCCATACACACACTGCCCCCCATACACACACTGCACACCCATACACACACTGCCCGACAAACACTGCCCCCCATACACACACACTGCACACACAAACACATACAGTGCCTCCATACACACACTGCCCCAAAACATACAGTACACACTGCTGCCCCCCCATACACACATTGCCCCACACACACGACCCCCCATACACAGAGTGCCCCCCCATACACACACTGCCCCACACAGTGATCCCCATACACACCTGCCCCACACAGACATACAGTGCCCCCCATACACACACTGCCCCAAAAACACATACAGTGCCCCCATACACACACTGCCAACCCTTACACAAACACACACACTGCCCCACACATACACTGCCTGACATACACTGCCGTACTCACACACACACACTTCACCCCTAACACACACCACTGCTCCTATGCCCTATATCCCAGCAGACCCCAGGTAAGTTGTCAAACTGTTCTTAAACAGTATGACTACTTACACTGGGGTGGGATCCTGGCACTACTGGCACCATAACTACTACACTGAGCTGTAGTGGTTATTGTGCCTGGATTATTTATTTAAATAATCTACAAGTGCCCCTCCCGAGATCAGGTTCTGGATCCGCCACTGCGGCGATGGCATGCCCGGAGTTGGTGGATGATTTGATCAAACGTGAGGTGGGACAGGGTTTTGTGTTAGGACCTTTTAGTTCCCCCCCTTTTTCTTCATGGAGGACCAACCCCATTGGTATTGTCACAGGTAAGACGTCGCTTAAACACAGACTGATTGTTGACTTGTCGGCACCTCATTCCTCCATGGTCCCAAGTCTCAATTCACCCAATCCCTCCCATGAATTCTCACTTCAATACTCCACGATTGACAATGCCATCGGGGCCATCTTGGCTGCTGGGACAGGGGCTTGGCTCAGCAAAACTGACATAGTCAATGATTTCAAATTGCTCCCCATTCACCCATCACTATGGCATCTGCATGGCATTAAGTGGCGGGGTTTGTATTACTTCTTCTCTCGGCTCACTTTCTGCTCGAAGAGCAGCCCTAATATATTCGATCTCTTTGCTGAAACTTTGTGTTGGTTGCTGCTTAATGTGTGCAGATCACCGACTGTGATTCACTATTTGGATGACTTTTTCACCATAGAAAACAACTCACTGCCACCCTCCAGCCTGTCACGTGTGTTGGCTCTCTTTGAATCCTTGGGAATTCCGGTCTCCCCTAATAAGAAGGAAGGCCCGGATACGGTTATACTTTATCTGGGGATTCAACTAGATTCCGTACGCATGCGGACATGTCTTCCCTGGGACAAGATGGAGCGCAACCTAACGAGCATTGCATTATGCTTACAACTGGAGGGAACTTCAGTCCCTGCTGGGGTCGCTCAATTTTGCCATGAAGATCATACCCCATGGTAGATCTTTAATTTCATGGTTGCTTGGTTTATATCCGCACCTCCACTCTGACGACTCACGCACCACGATAGACACGCACTCAACGGCCGATTTACGCATGTGGCACACTTTCCTCACTTCTTGGTATGGGCACGCCATGCTCCTCCCCCCCATCTCCGACTCCTCATCCACACCCTGGATTGATGCGGCGGCCAACACTGGATTCGCTGCCCTGTGGGGTGACAGATGGCTCTGGGGCTCATGGCCTAGAGAGGCTAGTTTCTCTACTAAATCGGCCTTGTTCGAACTGTAACCCATTGTGGCCACTGCTATTGCCTGGGGGACTGACTGGATGGGTCACTCCGTCAGATGCTTTTCCGACAACCTTGCCACATCATCAATACAAGCCGCTCCTCCTCCTTAGTAATCAGTAATTAGCCACCAGACACTTTTTCCTCACTTGTGTTCATGTCCCGGGGGTCACGAACATTGCTACTGATGACTTGTCTCATTTTCGTTTCCAGGCTTTCATCCAGACTCTTCCCACTGCTTTAAGTATGGCTACCCCCGCCTCTCCTTTCCAGGCCATGCTCCTGCACGCACTCTTTCCCATATGGCACTTTCAGTCAGCTCCAGGAAAATCTATGACAGCGCTTTTCATGTTTTTACCAGGTTCGTGACAGAGTTTCGGGTTCGGGGCACTTTTGCTTTGGAGACCTTGTTGGGCTTAACTTCCTTTTGCCACTTTGACTTAAAGTTATCATTTAACACCATCAAATCATATTTAACGGGCATACAACATCACGTGTTATTATGATGCCCCAACAAAACCGTTTTTCTTTCATCCCACCAGATAAAAACACTGCTAAAGGGAATCCAACAGACACAAACATAACTACCCCACAAAAGATTACCTATCCACAACAAACTCTTCCAGTCGTTATCCAACCTGTTAGAAACGGCCCCATTCGAACATACAACCAACATGGTAATTAAAACGTCCATCTATCTTGGGTTTTCAGATTCCTACCTCCAGAGGAATTTACCTCCAGCAGTATCACCACACAGACTACCTTAAAATGGCAGATATTCACAAATTTAGAGACCTTTACATTCTGTCTCTTCGTCATTCCAAAACCAGCCAAATGGGGCACACTGTTGAAATACCCCTTTTCCCTACCTCCAACAAATAGTGTCCTTTTAAGGTGTTGGATACATACTTTGATACCTTTCAAAAACAACCACATCAACTACTGTTAAAACTACACAGTGACACGCATAGCACTGCCAAATACATGCACTATGTCAGTTAGCTCTTGACCAGACTGGGCCTAAACCCTATTCATTACTCAGGCCACTCCTTCCGCATAAGGGCAGCATTATCTGCTTCCTCCAACAATATTCCAGCTCGGGTGTCACGAACATTGCTGCTAACGACTTGTCTCATTTTCGTTTCTAGGCTTTCATCCAGACTCTTCCCACCGCTTCAAGTATGCCTACCCCTGCCTCTCCTTTCCAGGCCATGCTCCTGGATTGACTTTGCTGTTGGCCCGAGCACGACCTCTTTCCCATATGGCACTTTCAGTCAGCTCCAGGAAGGTCTACAACAGGGCTTTTCATGTTTTTACCAGGTTTGTGACGGAGTTTCAGGTGCGGGACACTTTTGCTTTGGAGACCTTGTTGGGGTTCACTCCCTTTTGCAACTTTGACTTAAAGTTATCATTTAACACCATCAAATCATATTTTACGGGCATACAACACCACATGTTATTATGACGCCCCAACAAAACCATTTTTCTTTCATCCCACCAGATAAAAACACTGCTAAAGGGAATCCAACAGACACAACCATAACTACCCCACAAAAGATTACCTATCCACAACAAACTCTTCCAGTCTTTATCCGACCTATTAGAATGGCCCCATTCGAACATACAACCAACATGGTAATTAAAATGGCCATCTATCTTGGGTTTTACGGATTCCTACTTCAAGGGGAATTTACCTCCAGCAGTATCACCAACACAGACTACCTTAAAATGGCAGATATTCACAAATCCAGAGACCTTTACATTCTGTCTCTTCGCCATTCCAAACCCAGCCAAAGGGGGCACACAGTTGAAATACCTCTTTTCCCTACCGCCAACAAATGGTGTCCTGTTAAGGTGTTTGATACATACTTTGATACCTTTCAAAAACAACCACATCAACTACTGTTAAAACTACACCACTGCCAAATGCATGCACTATGTCAGTTAGCTCTTGACCAGACTGGGCCTAAACCCTATTCGTTACTCAGGCCATTCCTTCCGCATAAGGGCAGAATTATCCGCTTCCTCCAACCATATTCCAGCTTAAGTAATCAAAACAATGGGACACTTAAAACCTTCTGCCTACACCTTATACATTCCAAACCCAGTTAATGACTTATGACAGGCTTTTCGTGACTTGACCAAATAATTGTTGTTGTGTAGTATGAATAAAATCTTGTATGGTACACTTCCTTTTGCCCTCTTTATTACAGGCCTACTGCCTTGTCGGTTCTGGCACACCACAACCAACCTGGTGTCACTATCTATTGTTATATTATATAAGTATCGTTATCTTACCATCACAGCAAATATTGCCCTGACCACAAATTTAAGGCTGGGCCTATGGTTGTGGGAGGGGCTTGGGTCCCCTATAAGGGCTACCAATACTCTACCATTATTGGTCTAGCGAATTACCCTTTCCACCACTCCCTCTCCTCACATCACCCTCTAAGGTGGGCCCTCTTTATTAAAGGCCTACTGCCTTGTCAGTTCCGGCACACCACAACCGACTGGTGTCACTATCTATTGTTATATTTTATTAGTATCGTGTGTTATCTTGCCATCACGGCAAATATTGCTCTGACCACATATATATATTTGTGGTCCGGGAGAAAAGGCGGGGTATGGAGCAAAGTCGGATGTGGTGTCCCGAAACCAACATATGGGTATGCCTGTAAATAAAGATCCGTGATTTGAAGTAGTCATGTTGCCTGCAGTCTGTATGTACAGTGTTTGTCCTGGGAAATGCTGCACATACAGAGATTAACCCTATGACTGCCATGTAAACCTGGTCAGGGTACTCCTGGCATCATAAACACTTGGCTGTAGTGCTAGGAGTAACCCTTTACATGATGGTAGAGATATGAAGTAGGGTACTGGTAACGTTTTGTTTTGTTTATGCATTTGGGCTGATAAACACTTAAGTCACTGCTGATGCCCAAGGGTAGAGGATGCTGGAGTGCAGGGATAATTTCTGTGTTTCAAAGTACTTAGTTATGATACCTGGCTATGAAGGTGAATAGCACATTTCATAGAGGTGTGATGATATATAATGGTGATTATATACATGTATCTGTTGATAAAAATCAACTAAATCGTGTGCATATATATTTTCTGTAATGCTTTATTTTTGCTGTGCATGGTTATGTTAAGGACATTACAACAACCAGTGAAAAATCAACCTCAGAAAGAGACATGTCCAGTAAGTAACATAGATAAAGAAAAATAGCACATTTTCATTTAAAATAAGACATGAGTAACACTGTGCTAGGCATTCATAACTATAGATTAAAGAAGGCATAGCATATGCACAGATAGTAAGTCCAACTGCTTGAAACAAATATATGAGAAATCAGGTACATATATATGAATTCACATGAATCACCCCTATTGCCCACACTATATAACTTAGAAAAGTCCCTAATGTGGCCCAAGAACGTTTGATGCCCAATCTGCTGGACCACTGGTGTCTTACGCGCATGTCGACCAAGGCTTGAGTCAGACCAGTATTCAGGGAAAAGTGCACTGGTGTCTCGCCATAGTACCCTCCTAGCTTCCGCAATATGTCGTCGCCATCTTGAGGGCAGAGATGTGGGTATACTGCTAGAGTACATTTCCTTGCTTGTGCCCGTACCTCTACATGCTTTGACTTGGAAGCAACAGTACTGTGCAGGACAGCATGAACATTATCGTCAAGTGAGAATAGACATGGAGCAGTGTCATTGTGGCCTGTTGCACCACATATCAGTAACCCAGCAGGACTTCCCACATGTTCATTGATAGGTGAGTAGCAGTTTATAGGAATCAGTGGGCTCCTCTTCCGCTCCACTATGCGACTCACGAAAGCCGTGCAGATGACGTTCAGCTTTTGAATAGTTGATTGCTGCATCTCAATAGTGAGCCTGCTCGCCACCACCGCCATTTCAGGGGTCGAGTATCCCTGTTGATGCAAGCACAGTGGATTACGTAGCTGTTCTCCTGGGACTGGGACACCTCCACCAGTCCAAAGGGGGAGGCATGAGGACCCATACTCAAATTACCTGCCAGTAGTGGTAACTGTAGAGCGGCCGTCTCCCTCATGTCAGCCACATTAATAGGCTGCAAAAAATGAGCGGGCAATTGCTGTAGAAAGGTCGGATTAAGTGGCATTCTTATCCTCACCCTCTAACTTGGTGTCCAATATATGTTGATTAATACTCTCCAGCAGCTAAAATCGGCTATATTCACCCTGAGTGACTTACGACCGCTCTGCTCAGCAGCCAGGCCATGTCCCCTGCATATTTTTTTTTGAAGGCACAAATTTTAAAGAGACGTATATAATACAGTTATACACTAGCAGCAGATTCTTATTCGGTTATTATATAACAAATACCAAATGTTGTTCTGGTGATAACCAGTCTTTTTTTAATGAAAAAGTAATTTTCGTGCACTTTATCTCCAAACAAATAATGAACAAGCAACCACACACTTACAGGGGGGTCATGGTTGATAATCGGCTTATTATGTGACTCACATCGCACTTGCCTTATGCACACCTATTTAATTGACGCGCATTGTCCTGTGAAGGAATGCCTTAGTATATTAGCATTTTAACAATGTTATACTTTGTATGCAAAAGAGCATACTTTTTGTTTTGTTTTGTTTTTTTAACGTAGATGTGATTAAATTACGGTATAAATATTTATTGTTGCTCTGTGCCAAATGTAACATATACCCGTTGTCTTTCTTCCTCATATTATTTACATTACCAGCCGGCAGTATTAGCACAACAGGAAATTTACAATGCAAGAACAGGAAAAGCATGAACATGCATTTGCTTTCTAGGGGTAATAGTCTGTTATTCTATATAGAAAATACATGGACTAATGTTTTACATTTTCTGGTGACTTGTGTGACTATTTAAAAGAACAATAGTTCTTAGTTAATTATGCTGCCATATTTGTTTATCTCTTTTGGTACTTGAGCACCAAACAATGTATTTTAAACGAGCCAGAACTTCAAAGCCACAGGTTGTTGGATTAGTCTAGTGATTCGGCACCTTCATACATTTTAAGTATAAATGATTTTAGTACTGTTAGTTCAACATTTCTTTTTAAGCTATGGTTCTAAGAACAACTATTCAAACATAAATATTTATTATAAATGTATTCACGTAACACCAAATTGTAGTGAATTCAAAACAAAAAGGCATACTTTAGGCAAAATATGTTAATTTGGAGAAAAATCTCCACATTAGCACTATAGTTTAAATTCAAGACAGTTGGGTGTAAAACTGTTTTATAGAGTTTTAATTCCACATTTCAGAGCCATTCATATAATTCAAGGTCACTACAGTGACAGGTTTTGAGTGCTATAAGTTATTTACCTTATAATAAATTATAGAAACGCTAGCCTCTGCACAGCACACTTAGAGCTAGAGCTGACATTGCAATTAAATCAGGCTGGTTAGTCTAAGTGACTTTCTAAACTGATTTCATATACAAGACACCAAATGTGCTCTAAATGCTTTTACTGTCATCACTTAGAGATTAACAGAAAAAGCAGGTGCTTCCCTTTAGTGCATGAATGGACTGGGCTCTAACGGTTAACCTAAATTACTGTACCCCCCTCTAGCTGTTATGTGTAAAATTCCATTCACTTGCATATTGTATATGTTGATTTCATAACGCCAATCGTCAGCAAACATTGGTTTTCTTTAAAATATAGTTCAATGTAGTGGTTGTGGTCCCAGGAGTACCCTGGCACCATCCCAGTGTAATTTGTCAAACTGTTTTAGCACGGGTTCCTCCTGGAGCCCATGGCTGTATACCCTGTTTTTCGTATTCTCTTTTAGGAGAAGCAGGTTAGCGGCTCTAAAAAGGGCCAGGCAGGACTGTGCTAATTTCCCATTGTACTAAAACAAAACTGAAGAAAAATATGAAATATATGCATGTTGCATAGTAACCCAAATGGTAAAATATGAAATCTAGGCTGTCTAAAAACTATTTTACATTCACTCAGACTGTGCTTAAAACTGAATTGAATCATGCCAATGTAAAGTTACTGTTAATTGAAGTTTGGAATGACTTTTTTCCTTTACTTTAAGAAACAAAAGAGTAAATCAACATAACATTAGTTGGCTGGGGAGTGGCTGGTGGGATTCTACAGGGGGCACAGTATCCATTCTATCATGGTTCTGCATAATAAAACGTCATTCATTGAGGTGTATATACCTTACCATAATAACAACTGATAGGTGTTTCCCAATCTTGAAGTCATATTGATTCTTCATTAGTCATGTATGTTAAATGGACTACTTTGGCCAAAATAAAACAAAAAAAACAAACAAACTGTAAAACCTGTAGATTTTGCATACTGCATGTCAGCTTTCCGCAGCACTAACAGCAAAATTAGAAAAACGAAAGGCAGTATTTTAACTGCTAATATAATATAAAATATATTTTTCAAGACATATTTGTGATGCTATGTGACATCACAGAGCATCACTCGACAAGAGATAGTTCCCTGAAAGTATGAATACCTAAAAAATAAATAAAAAGGTTACCAGAAACCTTCTTAAAATGTCACTAAACAAATAGAAACACACTTTCTATGTTCAAATATTACCTACCCCTTGCGAAGCAGCAACAGTCAACAACTTGGCCTTATCCTATTTCAAAATTAAATGTCTTACTCATTTAATACAAGCAGAACCATACAGAGCTGCCAGTTCTAAATAAGTAAGATATCCAAAGTGGACAAGGAGTCTTTTAAAAAAATAGATTGCGATAATATTATGGGATATTATTGATTCGGCATGGGTTAAGAAACATTTTTATGCAGCTTTCTATAAATAGGCAGGCTACAATTAGTCCATATTTGGTGGGGATTTCTGTATTTTCCAAGGCATAAGGTGATCACGTGTCTTAGGGGTCCATTCACTATGTTCTGCTTGGAGGAAAAACGAGACAGGGGTGATATGATAGAAACATTTAAATATATAAAGGGAATCAACACAGTAAAGGAGGAGACTATGTGTAAAAGAAGAAAAACTACCACAACAAGAGGACATAGTCTTAAATTAGAGGGACAAAGATTTAAAAATAATATCAGGAAGTATTACTTTACTGAGAGGGTAGTGGATGCATGGAATAGCCTTCCAGCTGAAGTGGTAGAGGTTAACACAGTAAAGGAGTTTAAGCATGCGTGGGATAGGCATAAGGCTATCCTAACTATAAGATAAGGCTAGGGACTAATGAAAGTATTTAGAAAATTGGGCAGACTAGATGGGCCGAATGGTTCTTATCTGCTGTCACATTCTATGTTTCTATGTTCTTACAGGTGGGCTTTTTTCAGCACAACCCACTATCGTTATATGCACCAACAGGAGTATTAAAATAAAAGCCACCAACTGATTTTTACTATTATTTCTGAGGTAAATATTTTGAAGTACACCCCTAGATAGTTACCCTTGAAAAAGATACCGCAGGTGCTAAATATTTTTTCAGAATTCTTTTTTTAGGGGGGTGGAGGCATATATAATCTTGAATTATCTGAGGCAGATTTAGTGTAATAATTTTGCAGTTACTCAGCAGCAACTCAAATGTTAGTTGCAAACTTAACCAAAGACAAAATGCTGTTTGCAGTACTTAAGTTTACAACACTCTGGGTTGAACAAAATTTCTGCATTATCTGTTCTGTGTTTGTCAGCAGACATACTGCAGTGCAAACTGACATTTTGCTTACAGACCCCCTTAATAATCAATAGTATCATACTGCTCATTTTTACTCATACCCAGAGCCACACAGAGGGAGACTATGCAAAACAGGTAATCCCTCAGTGGAAACAAGTGAGTGTTCATGAAGAAGGATATAGAGCTCTACCCCCACTATAGCTACAGCACAAAAACAAATCTAATTCGTTATCACTGTTTTAAGGCATTAGAAGCCTTTGTCTTGAACAGAACAGGTCTCTATGCATTTCTTCACCATCACCTGAAAAGTTGAATCCATTAAAAAATATCTGTATTGATCCCTTTAATATTTAATTTCCTATCCGGTAGTTTTGTGATCTATGACTTTATACATTTAAAAAAAATAACTGGCACTTTTCTCACACCATTGAATTAATCACTGAAAAATCACCTATCACTTGTGTTAAAGGGTCACTGTCACTGTCTGGGGACTTTGCAGAATTTTCAAAGACTCCCAATGATGACATCGCCAATGGGGGTCCGGTAGCCGGGGAAGCATGGAAAGATGAGTTCTACTTATCTAAACCTCGCGGTCACCGCCAACTTTTTCTGGCGGGTAATTTTCAGCAAGGGCCAGGAGTCGATGTCACTGCTGTACTCTCGCACAGGTGTGAAAGTACACCATTCAGGTCTAAGGAGGATCCAGCGAGACCGTGGGATGCTCCATAGATAAGGCCAATCCCCTGCAACCGTCACTGGTAACGGCTGGGGGGGATTGACACTTCTAGATTTTGGTAGGTCCGCTTAGTGTCTAGAAGTATCAGGCATAGGAAATATATTGACACAAATAGGGACTATTTTTCCCTGTATATCTCTTGGAATTTCAGTGAAACTCCAACCGAGTCAATATGAGTATATACCAAATGGAATCATAATCAAGATCAGACGAGGCAAAGTCAGGTTAAATATTGCTAATGAAGTGGAGAAATAGAATCCTTGTTTAATTTCTCATCTTCTCTCTATGCTTTCTTAATGCTGACTACTAGGTACAAAAGACAGAGCTTATAACCGTGATAGACAGGGATCTAAATGTAGGCATCCAAATGCATAATAAAGTCGTGAGGAAATCTACATTTACAGGGTTACTCACTAAAGTGAGAATTCAAAGTGAATTTCAAAGTCAAGGTAAAAATAGCTGAACTGGTTAAATTCTGAG